CTAAAGGTGCCCGCACTGTATTGTGGTATGCAAAGACAAAGGCCTAATCTCTGACTTGGAACAAAGTCAGTATTTGCATATTGCATTGATCCCAAGATGTATGTTGGTGCCAAATTTAGACAAGATTATGTACTAGGGATGCACTGATACCGGTTTCTCAGTATCAAATACGAGTACCGATATTTTGCTTTCAGTACTCACAGATACCAAGTACCGATACCAATGCTTCCGCTGGCATGGAGCCAGCTTCCTGGGCAATCAGGTAGCCAGGTGGCGAGTAATGACATGCTGCCCAGGCTTCCTGATTGCCTGGGAAGCCGGCTCTGTGTTGTTTGGCTGCCTCGATTGTGATTGGCTGGGAAACCGGCTTCAAGTAATTACCCTCACAGCTTTCTGATTGGCCGAAAAGCCGGCTCCATGTTGATTAGCTGGAAAGCCGGCTTCCAGCCAATGAGCATCAGGCCGAGTACTCGCCTAAATACTCGGTATCAGCACCTATACAGATACTAGTATCGGTGCATCCCTAGTGTGTACTAGCACCTACAATCACATACCAAGGTCAGTTCAGTATATGGAGATCAGTTCAGTATTTCCTCCTGGCAGGTTCACTTTAAGCAAGCCACATATTTTCTAGCTATGAGTGGTCTAGCATTCTGAGCAACAGAAATGTTATATTTCAGTTCATAAACGATGTACCGTAATTGCAATACGCTGGCTCTGTGTTTAAGTGTAATTCCAAGTGGCAGGCCTGAATGCAAAGGCACCAAAAACAACATGGAAACAAAACATCATTTTAATTGTCTGCTTAGTAAGACAGATCTACCTTTAAGCTACAATTTTTGTTAACTGGAGTCGGTGAAAATTACATCCACTTGTCTTTTAGATGCCAACTTAATATTGTTATTCCTTGTCGAATTTAAGCCATAAGACAACCAAGTGACAGAATGAGCTCTGTAAACATTTATCTTTAGAAAATGTGTATTTTTATTTTTTTTTACCTCTGAGTAATCCCCCATAGGCTTGTGTTTATGGGTTTTGATGCCTACAAAAGGCACTTTTGTCACTGCTTGACAAGAGCAATTCTGATTTGTAAGCCTTAATACAAGCTAGCTACTAATTATAATTCAGGCTATGATCATCTCGGTCATGGAGAGATTAGCTGATAATTCATCTTGGAGTTTGTCGAACCAAGAACAGACCAGTGTAATTATTCTAATCAAGATATATTTTCCACTTCTGGGGCACTGCTCCCTCAAAGTTTCTAGGCCTGAAAGGATTTTAACATATTGCCCCCTTTCTATCTTAAAGACAAACAGCGCTGATGGCAGGAAAATTACATTATTGTGGAGCTGGCAGCTGAGGGCTGCCAAATAATGGTTTTGAGAAGCGGCTTCTTACAAAAAGAAAATGCTAATAAATAAATGTTTTCTTGTAGCGCTGGAGAAAAACGGCAAACGACTTCTACTTCTTTCCGCCTGGAAGTGAGCGTTTGCCTCTCTCTTGGGCCCTGCGCCTGTGTGTTTTATCAAGTGCCTCCGACAAAGAGATATATTAGGAATGGGAGTTGGAAGGAGTTGTGTATTGATGTAAAGATTGCAGAGATCAAGGGAATGACGTGTTCAAAAGAGGTAAAAAGTTGAGTGGTTTGTATCAATAAAGTTGAATGTTTTAATGCTTTGCTTCAAGAAGAACTCCGGGCAGAAATGTTAATAACTTTTGTAGGGGGGCTATCCCCACACTCCAAGGGTTAACTGCTAATTGTTTGCCTAGGGTCAAAAAAAAGTTATACTCACCCGATCCTCTGAGCCAACTGCCTATTCGACCATTCCCTGGAGTGTCTCTCCCCCCTCAGCGGTCTGGGAAACCTCAAGTCATCAAGTCAAATACAGTGTATAGGACATGAGGACGCCTAGGGACATACCATCGTTGCAGTGGAGGAGGATGTCTCGGGAGGGTGCGCTGCCTGCTCCAAGGATCAGGTAAAGTAAAACATTCTTTTATTTTTTACCCCAGGCAAAAACGAGCATTTAACCCTTGCAGTGCAGGGGTAGCTGTTTTCTTTTTAAAGCAGCTACAGCCTTAGTAGAAAAGCCACTCCCCTGCAGCTGCAGAGTGGCACCTGTGCTCTCTGTATGGAAGCAGTGGTCTCTCAGCAGAGGTTTGACACACCTCCGGCCAATTCAGACCTATAGCTCTGCAATCAGCAAAGCTCATGCTCCTTGCTGATAGGTGAGTTCTGGTTCTGACTCAGCAGGTGGGAATTTTTAATTTAGGTATTGTGTGGACACCAAAAACCCTCACCATATTTTAAAGTAACATTAAAGTCAAATTTTGTTTTCCCTCCTCCCAATGTTAATATCAGCACTTACCTTAAATGATGCCTCTTAATCCAATCTTCCTCTTCTTTCCTGTTCTTTTCATCTGTCCCTCCAGCGGTGCGGCTGCTCTCCGATCCAGCGCTGACTCCTCTGTCTCCACAGTACAGCAGCCAATCACTGGGTTTCTCTCATCCAGCGGTGCATGCTGGGATAGGGTACATATACTAGATGGAATTGCCATGTGCAGAGTCTTGTGCCAGCCATGGATTAGTCCAGGTTGGGGTGCTGTCCAGCCTGCCCGCAAGGCTAGCCCTGAGGACTAGGGGTGGGCAGATACTGCAGTGTGGGAAAAGTTTCCCTAGGCCTCAAGTATGGAGGAGGCCTGTGCTGTTGTCAGAGGAGAAGAACCAGTGGAGCTGATGGCTCCTGGAGGTGCCTGGAACAAAGTGGACCGCAGGAGCAAGTCTGGTGTCTATCCTGCTGAAGATCTATGCTCATCCCTCCTCATCTGTTACTCAAATTCCTATTCGATGTGCTACAAATTGATCTAGACTGAGATGCTAAAACATCTGGTGATTATCTGGGATGTCTAGGATCCCTATATCCTCTGTCCACAGTGTGAAGATGTTAATAAAAGTTATTCAGCATTATACTTCTGGAGTGGATATCAGCTTTGTGAGCACTAGAAGAAGGGCGGTTAATGCTAATGGGGCAGCTGAAGACCAAAACCCCTAGACAACTAGTGATGATGGTTCCTTCGGGGGTGAGCGCTACAAAGCCAAAAAAAAGGTTTGGCTATACTACTTTTAATTGAGGTCTATATATCAGAGTAATAAAAAAGAGGGACAGCTGAAAAAGGAGAGGAGGAACAAATGGATTTGATTTAAAAAGAGGGACATTCCCTCCAACTTAGAGACAACTGAGAGTTATGGCATAACCTTATCATTCTATTCAGCAGTACATAGAAACACAATGCTGTGCATTTTAGTACTGCAGAGCTGAATAAGCAACCAGCAGTGAGTTATTTCTATGGTCAGAGTTCATTAAAACATTGAAGGGATTTCATTTTCTCTCACAGCATTGGCATGAAAGCAGCTCTTGGTGGAAAAAAAAAATGTCTTTCTAAATATGGGCTTGTAGGTTTATAATGGTGATCATTTTGACATTACTATTTTCGCCCGCTCTGATTAACAGGCTAACAAATACTGCAAAGTAACAGCTGCTGTGTTATATTTAGGAGCAAGATACCTTGTTCCTAAATATAACAGAGACAGAAAATGTATTTAATTTCTAACGTGCAAAAATAAAATCGGAGTGATCTGCATATTGATCTGCACATTTTATTTCTGAATCAGTATTTCTGAAAAATGACACAAGCAAGTTTATTTTAAGGCTCTTACAAACGTGTAGCCAAAAGTCATCACAGGACCAGAATAGTGATATGGAAGAAGCTGCTTCAAGCCAGGGCTGAATTGACACGTATTAACCACATGAGCAGTTTATAACAGCAGTACCTGAACTATCAAAATGATGATGGAAACGGACGATGAAAGTCTAGGGGTTTCCACTTGTTGTTATACACTGAAAACACCGTGCCGAGATCCAATTTAATGTGGGCTTATTTTTCTAACTCGTGGCAATGCATGTGTTCAGGCTTCCAATGGCTACCAATGGGGCTGGCTCCCATGAATGCATTGTCTCAACATGCACTGTGGAAAAAAAGCCATGGTCTTTGATAAGGGTCAATGGGCACAAAGAAGTCTAAGGCAGTGCATGAAAATGCATAGAACATTCAATTTTATGTGCTATTCACACATAACACACATCGAAAATGCATCTAAAAATACCAACTTACAATCTTGTATTAAATTGTATTGTAATTATGTCTTCCCTATATTGTGAAGCGCTGCACAAACTGTTGGCACTATGTAAATCCTGTATAATAATTATACTACATACTAGGGATGTCCCGATACCGATGCTAGCATCGGTATCGGCAAGTACATGAGGGCCAGTACTTGTACTTGTACTCGGACTTAAAAAAGTGGCATCGGGACATCCCTACTACATACAGAAAGGGTATGTCACTAGCACACTGGATTGAAGGGACCCTGAGTGGCCCCGAAACGTTGCCTTCTTTGTGAGATGTGCATGCGTCAATAAAGATGTTTTTTGAGTGCTTCATTCTAGTGTGCTGGTGACATCCAAAGTCACTTCAGCACCCATTACCAAGGGGCAGACTGGTAAGGAGTGCGGTGGGATACCTATTGGACCATATAGCACTAAAACGCAAAACGCTAAGATGTGAAGCCCTCCTTACATGAGAGCCTGCTGGGGTATTTGTGTATTCATGTTGTTTTTAATTGCTCCCTTCAAATCCATATGTGTCCTGCCACGCCTTTTAGATTTACCCCTGCAGTAAATGCTGATCCACTGACCGTTAGGCTAAAAACATTCATCATTTAGAAAAATGTAATAAACAATGCTAAAATATCTTTAGTAAACTCAAAGCTAGTCACCAGTATTGCCTGTAGTCTCCCTGCAGCCAATCTTTCCCCTATTACTGACTTACTATGCCTTGTCCTACATTGTAGCTTTGTGTGGGGGCAGCCATCTTAGTAAAGGCAGGGCTCAGAGGTCAGTGAGCAGAACAGCAGTGACATCCCCAAATCTCACTCTAAGTTTCAGACTAGTAGTCAGAGGCAGTAGTGCCTGAGATCCCACATTGCAGATATACAACTATGAGGCTGTAAGCACAGTGGTGCTTAGGCATCCTCACATACAAGGAAGTGCTTTGCTATTTTTTAAGAGAGAAAATCCAAGACAAATGGTACATATTAGAGCATTACTTCGGCATAGTTAACATTTCTTTATGTTCCCTATAACATCAGCTTCAACTCTTCTGTGCTATATGAAAAGGAAATGTGTAAGTATTGAAGGACAGGAGCTGCAAGTACTGACTTGTTTCGGAAGGTACAGGCTTCACAGCTGCTATCCTTGCTCCACACTTGGTAAATCACAGTAGACTATTGGAGTAGAAGTGTTAGCCTAGGGGTTACGGGTTGTCACCTTACGTTTCCACTAGTTTTTGACACTGAAAACGCCATGCTGAAATCCAGTTTAACTTTAGCTTATTTTTCCAACTCGTGGCAAAGCATGTTTTCAGGCTTCCCATTGTTTCCTGGGGGGCTGGCTCCCATGTACATGTTGCATCAACATGCACTGTAGAAAAAAGTAATTGTCTGTGTTTTAGCGAATTGATGAGTGTAACGGGGCACGAAGAAGTCTGAGGCAGTGTATGAAAATGCATAGTACATATTAAAAATGCACATACAAATGCAAGAACATAGGCATAAAGACCTCCTTACATGGCCAGGTTCTGTATTTGCGTATTTGTTTTGTTTTTCATTACTCCCTTGATTGTTTACCTTCCTAGTTGGAAGGTAAAGGCTTCAGAGTTGCTATCCTTGCTTCCCCACTTGCTGAATCACAAACCTGACTCAGCCAAAACAGATAGATATTTCTATCCTGACAGTTTTGCTCTAAAAGGTAAAGTTCTGTTTTGCCCATGCACGTTTCTTTCATCAAAGGAAAGGTACCCATGTGCAGCTGGGGTAGGCAGAAGTTAAGTGAGCCTTACCTGGTACTGCATGGGACCTATACAGTCACCATTCGTATGTGGAGGCCATCTACCATTGGGATGCATAATAGATGGCCTCTCCGAAGGAATCAATAGAGATTCAGAACAGCCCAGCTGGGAGACCACTCTGGCATCTTTGTGGCTCCCAGTGGTCCACACAACAAAGATCTGGCAGGATAAGACAGGAGAGTATAAGCTCAAAAGCCTGCTCTTTCAGTCATCAATGGTGGCTTCCATATTTCAATCTGAAAAGGTTTCTTTTCAAAGACTTCAATTCACAATCGTATTGGGACCAATTAAAATAAGACCTAAAAACCTTACCTTCTGGTTATTCAGTATTTTTTTTTCTAAATAACTTGAATAAATCTAAATCCCATTTCTCAGTAAACATGCGTCACCAAAATATTTCCAAGTAAAGTGTATGTATTTAATTAGTGATCTGTCGGTATCTCAAGTGCTCGTGTTGTCTCACAGCAGGGGAGGTTCTGTGTGACAAGCCATATACACTTACACAGGCCTCCTGCGGGCTCTTCTACATTTCCTGGCATTTCTCTGACTTTCTAAGGAAAATCAGCTGTTTAAGATGCCGGCTATATTTGTTGTCAGCCTCTGCAGCTCGTAAAGGAATATGAAGAATGAATGAATGAGGGGAATGATGTATGAATACCCTGTATAATCATTGGTATATTTATATAGAAATCGAGGATGAGCCAACAACTGTACCCTTCGTAAATTTTGAGCAAGTCTTGTATTGCTGGCCAGAACAATCTAATTGCTTTAATGAAATGATCAGTAGACTTACAGAAATCAGTGGAGCTACATATATCAAAGTATAATTTTTAATACGGCCATTGCTTAAAACTTGCCACATGCTGGTTCTCTTTAATGTAGATGTAAACTCTTACTGGACACTGGTGCAGTGCAGCCGTTCTTTTTTCCTACAAGCTCTGCCCACTGAGGTCCGTATGAGAGGAGGCCTATGTAACTCACCATGTCAGTATATCCCTTTCTGTCAGCACCCACCACGCCTGCACACCCCGTTCTAGCAGCACCCACCACATTGGCACATCCACTTGTGTCATCACCCACCATGCCTGCACGCCCCTTTCTGTTGGCACCCACCATCCCTACACACCCCCAATGCCTGCATACTCTGTTCTAGCAGCACCCAGCATGCACCTGAGCACGCTTCTCACCACTGTCACTTCATGCCTGCATGAAACACAGCATCACTACCCAAACTGAACCTGTATGCCCTCTCCTACCCTCCCTCTCACCAATAGTCCTGTGCACGTTTTCCCCTACTCTCACCAACACAATTGCACCACCATTACCACCACCTCCCCTGTAAGCTCTTCTCCCAACTATGCCAAAGCGCTCCAACCTCTTCAATAAAATGGGGAAGAATAAAAGATTTATGTCAGGTTATAATAATTTTTGTGCCTTTCTGTCCCTGTGACAACTGCTTCACTAATTTCCTGTCCTGCTGTCACAAAGTAAGGTGAAATCTCCCAAGCAATTTCATGGACAGCAATTAAAACATGAAAAAGAGATTTACTCTTTCCAATCCAAGGCCAAAAAAAAAAAAAATATTGGTTGGAGTTCTTTGTCAGTCGTCACACACCAAGGATGAGAGCTCATTGAATTCAAAAAGTAGTTACAGGTAGACTCATAACTCAAAATTAAATCCTGAAAAATATACATGGCACATAGGTTTAGGTTTCGAGGAACTGTTCATCACAACCACCAAATAGACATAAGCCTTTAGGACAACTTTTGGAAGCACACCCTGATGTGAGCAACTGTCTGCTCTGGCTGCAGGGGATTACACAGAACATTTACAAATAAACATTTCAAAGAGCATTCTGGGTTTTCTAAAGAAAGAGCAGAGCAGAAGCTGTTTGCCTTCAGACCATCCTACAAATGAACTCTATATGGCTGGAGCAAGCAGGCAATGAAGGATTAGTCCGTTCTGTCACTTATTCAAATGTGTATATATAAAGTAGTAACACTGGACAGTTAAACATGTAAAGGGGAGCTTAGAGCCCCATCTGTTGGCTGGAATAAAACCACAAAATATAAATAAGGGAAATCCAAAATTTTACAATTGTTACCGGAACAAGAAGTATCCCACTTCCTGTTGCAACTCAGGGACAGACGTGAAGGGGAATATACCCAATGGGATACAGACAGCAAAAAAAGGAGTTTTAACCCTTTCCTGCTCTAGCCAAAACTAAAATAAATAAGAAGAAATGTTGGCCACACACACACACACACACACACACACACACACAAACACAAACACTTTAATAAGTCCCCCAGTCAGTCTGGTGATGGTAAGCTGCGGTGTGCGTCACCTAGCAGTTTCAACTAATTCAAAGTCAGGTGCTGAAATGCAGTGTACACAGTCCCAGCTCCCAAAGGGAACCTGTCACCTGGGTTGCAGCACATGACACAAAAACTGTTAATTTCAGTAGTGGACGCTGTTCTTTCCTACGTCCATCTTTTTTTAAAGCTCCCTCCTATGCACAAAATCAGTTGTCCCGTCTTTTATGTGCATCGCTGGTCAGGATACTCGGATCCTGCACAGTCAGTCTGAGATTGGTCTTTTCACATCTCCGCAGAAGCAGACTGTGTGTACATATAAACAGATTAATTTCTCCTCGATCTGTCAAAATAAATCCCATTCTACCTGCAGCACACACACAGACCTCTCTATAGAAAAGTGGGAGTTTTGTTTTTCTCTATCCAATCAGCCATACTGTCAGGGAAGGGATGTGTGTGTCGTTGCGCTGATGAAAGTGCACTGGGGCAAATGATTCTCTTTGAATGATACAAATATTTGGAAATGGAGGTGTGATCATCCACTTCAATCCAGAGCTGAGATAATATGTGCAAATTAAACATGACACAGAGGAGGCCTATGCTTCATTATACTCAGCTGATGAGCTGCTGCTGCTGCTTTCTGTGACAGTCAGCAAAAGGTAACAATTGTGCATGTGTATAAAGGAAATCTGGATAGACTGATGTATGTGAGCGGCTGATGATGAATATGCTTGTCGTCTGTCTGCTTTGCTGATCTATAGGCTTCAATAATGTCTCAGTCACTGACTTGGAGCAAGTACAGAGGCGTAGCAAGGTCACAAGGTGCCCGGGGCAAGTGTTTCATTAGCGCCCCCCAACAAACCAAACCATAGTTCAGTGCTCTGTATCGCCAGGGCCCGTTTGCAGCTGCGACCCTGTAATTCTGCCACTGACGCCAAGCTGTGGAGGGTCTACAAATCTCACCAATACATGATACCACAATGCAGAATACGATTGGCTATAGAGAACTGCAAATCCCAGCAATACTTTATACACCAATGCAGAATACCACCAAGCTATAGCGGGTCTACAAATCCTAGCAATGCATTATACAGTAATGCAGAATATCGCCAACTATAGAGGACTACAGATCCCAGCAATACATTATACAGCAATGCAGAATATGATTGGCTATAGAGGACTACAAATCCCAGCATTACACATTGTAAAGAAAAGCAGAATACCACCAACTATAGAGGATTACAAATCCCAGTAATATATTACACAGCAATGCAGATACAGAGGTCCGAACAGTGATGGTACTACAAGTTACAGCCTCATTCATACCTATATTTTAGGTGCATTTAGAAATCCCAGCATCTGAAACTTGCTATTTCCTGCAGCAGGAATCCCTAACCTGCTGTTTACATTCAGCAGCTGTCACCCATTCATGTTAATGATCGGGTGACAGGATGACAGCGCTGGCAATCTGTATGTAATATGCAGTTAGGAATCAATCACTATGCTTGGATGCATCAATCGTGCGTCCAAAGATAGTGTATATGGGGTGCCAGCGTTCTGCAGCTTTCATATGCGGCCGCTGTCACCAGATCATTAACTTTGAGGGGGGGTAGAGAGAGAGAGAGAGAGAGAGAGAGAGAAAGTCCATGCGGCTCTCTAATTAGGCGGCCGCCTAATATGCCTAAATAGAGGACTGCAGCTAGCTGATTGTGGCTGGCCTGGATTGCCATCGGGCATACTGAGGCAATCCGGGCCAGCCGAGCCTATTTTCAGTGGTGGGCCCGGAGCCCCTAG